CAATGCACGTGGCACGAGTTGTGCTCTCTCTCGCATCCTAGCTGGGTCCCTATAGGATACATTCCTGGTTCGGTGTACATGTATGATAAGCTACTAGGATAAATTATCTCAAATTGTGGGGAGCTTGGCAAGTGTACCGTCGTCGCCGAGTGTGACAACCATCCACGGTGGGCCACCACGAACACCTCTCTAACCTTATTTCTCGATTCGACTGGAGCACCTTGAGACGCGAAGTAACTACAGACAGTTACTGTGCTGTATTAATACAATGTATCGCGGCGAAAGCAGGTTATGGTCGATAGCGTTTCGCGGTAGGCAAAAAAGAATGGCAGGGTCGGAGGCACTACAATTTGGCATCCATTAAGCAGTGAGGGAGAAATTACCGTCACAGCTCTGAGCTCTGTTTTGATTTCCATTCGCCGGTGCCGCGATGGTTTATGTTTTTAAATGGTTTGTACTGCGCAATTGTATGTAATTCGGTGCGTTTAGCAATTATGAGGCGTTAGTTAGTGGTGCATTGGCAGGCAGACACACATTGAACAGGTGCGAGTATTTGGATTGTTCATCTGCTTAGGAGAGCATCATATGCCCTTGGCTGATGGTAGACGCACGACATCAACGGCGTCAGTAGACTCTAATTGTACTGATATAAGCTACGTTGGCATGATTGGTCCAAAGTATCTGACAAGGCAAGGCGCCATGAACAGCATACTGTCGACATTGACGTGGGGCACCTGGGATGATGCGGAATGGGGCCTCGCAAGCGACCTAGCCGTAGCCTCGGCCGCCACTACTACGCATGCAGCTTCTGGCCCCGCGACTTCATCTCAAAAGCAGCGAAGTCTCCGCAAACTGCGTAAAAAGGGGCTACAGGCGCCCAAGAACTCGCAGCTTTGGTTCGAGGAACTGCTGGAACGCGTAGAAGGCACACAGTTCGGTCGTAGCAACGCTAACTATCGCTGCAACCCCTTCAAATGTCACCACACGTCGGAAGAGTATTGTATCGATGCACAGCAGGAGGGCATCCCGTGGGAGGATTTGCCCGACGGAATCCACCCTCGCGACGGCAAACTGTCAGCAGAGCGAGCAAGGAACAAGCGACAGCAAGTGGACAACCTCGCAGTCTTCTTGCGACGCATTTTAAGGTCCGTCACAGCTTACATTGATATTGCAGTGTGATAGGATAGAGACTTATAATGCTGTTGCATGCTGTTGTTTCCTGCTCCAGGCCAGGCGATGTGGTGGTAGAGTTCTGTGCAGGATCCGGATACGTAGCCCTACCACTTGCTTGTCTATTTCCGCAATGCAAATTTGTCCTACTTGATAAGAAGGAGCCTTCGCTCGCAATTGGTACGAATAATTGGGGTTATTCGACTCGCTTTCTCTAACATGGTGCCTTGACTCGTCATTTATTCAGCGAAGGAGCGTATTGCTGCTGCCCAGTTGACCAACGTGGAGATTTTCTGCGGGTACATCGATGATTATCACAAGCCTTTTGACGTGGGTATTGCGCTGCACGCTTGTGGCGAAGCCACTGACATGGTGATGCAGAAGTCTCTTGCAGAACGAGCCGCGTACGTGCTGGCTCCGTGTTGCGTCGGTAAGATCAAGCTGAGCGAGCTGGCCTACCCTCGTTCAGCTACCTTGGCTGCTGAGCTCACACGTACCGAATACGAGGTGCTGGCGAAGGCTGCAGACTTCGGTCACTCGAGCAGCACTACTATGGCCCACACCGACATCAATCGCAGACGTCGACGCTGCAAGACGCTCCTTGAGAGTGATCGCAACATGCGCGCTGAAGAAGCACAGTACGATACGTTCATGTTCGTTATGCACCCTCCTACTGCTACGCCGAAGAACGACGTACTGGTTGGGATCCCACGAAATCTCACGGCTGAGCAAAGCGACCGGCTGTTCCAGCTCGAGTGCGAGGCTGCTCTATCGACCGACGCGCTCGTACACAAAGCAATGTTCGGCGTATAGACAAATAATAGATTGTATGTTTGCCTTGACGTGGCGTGTTAGATATTACGGTGACGTTTATCGAGGTTTGTGAGGAAACGAAGCTCTAACGCGTTGTAACAGCTCGCGAGTATCGGATGACTGGAAATCGCGGCAATCTACCAGCATTAGAGGTGCCGAGTTGGATGTAGTCTTCTCAAAAGTCATGACTCCTTCTAGGTTCATAAGCGCAAACTGCATATTTGCTGCCCATCCGTGCGCAACTTGCACCTTCGTGTGCATTGTTTGCAGGAACTCCGAACACGGGACCCCCATGAGGCGCGTCACGAATTCTTCAGCCACGTCTGCTTCCCTCGTGGCAGTGCAATCCTCCACAGACACTCGCAACTGGTACTTCCCAGTGTTAAACTGAAAGCCTACCACCGACTTAATACACGCACGAAGCTGGAATCTAGTCGTTGTTGC